GCTAAATTTCTCCCTATAGAATACTGTACACTTACTTGTTGACTTAGGTTGAGAATGGACTTTATCAACAAAAAGCATTCTTTTAATACTGTCTCGCGTATCCTCTGACAAGGCAGACTCATTCGATGTACAGTTTAGTTGGATAAAATTTGATGGTGGAGAATCTGAGTTAATTGCAAGAGCTCTTGTCACTCCTAAATAAATTAAAAATTAATAAATGGATTAGAAATTTAAAAAGACGAAACAACAACAACCCAACGAAGGATCTTGGAGTCGTGGACAATATAGGGCACGAGTAAAATAACAGGCAGTGATAGCAGAAGGTTTGGTGTTATGTGCAGTAGTAACGTACACAACAAAGGAGGAAAATCATTGAAGCACAAAAGCAGTACCACTTATTCCTCCTGTTTCAGATAATACTGACCTTTTTCAACAGTTTGATATGAAACCTTGGTGGTGGATTTAACCACAGTATCTGCTTCAATAGGCACCATTCCTGCTGGGCTCATTCTGATTGGGATAGCAGATGGAGAGCTGTCAATATCTTTGATCGGTGTTCTTTTAGTACTATCATGTGTAGAATCATCCTCTATTGCAGACTCATTGGATGTACATTTTAGTTGGGTAAAATTTAATGGTAGAGGAGGATCCAAATGAAATGTAGCAGGAGCTCTTGTCACTGCTCCTAAATAAATTTCAAATTAACAATGGATTAGAAATAATAACAATAAATAGAAAATGAAGGAGGACAGTATTCTAGCACAAAATGCAGTACCACTGATTCCTCCTATCTCAGATAATACTGACCTTTTTCAGCATTTAGAGATGAAACCTTGAACGGACTGGTTGATTTAGCCACAGCATCTTTAATAGATGGAGAGCACGCTGATGGAGGATCTTTTAGAGAAGGTGCAGATCTTTTACTTTGTTTGACCCATAGACCCATCCAACGGTTGCAGCAACAAGGCCCATTCCACATTTGTTTTTTTCTATTTTTGAATTGACCAACACACTGGCCATGATACCAAGAATCACAGGAATCACAGCAAATCATAAAACTAGAAGCGAAAAAATGAAATGTTAATGACTGGTGCAAATAACCAAAAAGTTTCATCAAGCCCCACTCCTTGTAACATGCAGTTTTACACTGCCTATGCCTAGCAATCATTTTGAAAAAAAAAAGTCTCTGTCTTCGAACATCTAAGATATGAAGATAAAAGATAATATTCTTTTGACATCACTATAAAAGTTAGGTGTGTAGGCAACCACATGGTTCAACGCAGCACAATACTCTAGCGGGCAGAAAAGTTTAACATATAGCAACTCACCTGTCATCACTTGGCCTCTTACATGTCGGGCATTCTACTTCAGTTTCT